ATCATGACGTTTGGCAGCGGCAGCAATGGGTGCCTAGGCCATGGCAGCCTCACTGACATCAGCCAGGTGGGTGTCACATGTACTTTGGAGAGGGGGAAGTGGGGAGATGGCGGGGAGCCCACATCTGAGAGCTGACACCAGATTGGGGGCAGGGGAGTTCCCAGCAGCCACAGGTTCCTCTAGATTCCCAGATGCACCTCCCCTGGGCCACCTACATCGGGGGAAGTACAGAAAAACCAGGCTTCCCCAATGGTTGTCCACCTGGCAGTGTGTGTGGCTGGAGTTAAAGACATAGCCACCTCCTGAGAATGTGTATCCTCCAGCTTTGTCCCTACCGGGGGTGTTGAGGCCAGATGGCTAGTCCCAGACCCTTTGCCCAGTTTCTCCTTGCTTCCTCTCCTCTCTAGCCCACCATTGTGGAGGCTTTGCTGGGCTATGAGATGGTGCAGGTGGCCTGTGGGGCTTCTCACGTGCTGGCCCTGTCCACTGAGCGAGAACTATTTGCTTGGGGCCGTGGAGACGGTGGTAAGCTCCAGCCTCTAGGCCCCATCTCACAGCATCCTCAGCCATGACTTGCTCCCCTTCATACCCACCTTCCACCCCACAGCACGTTCTCTCCTCCCTCTTTTCTCTCAAATTCTCTTCATTCATTCAACAAACCTTTATTTTACACCAACTGTGCACATGCTGTGCTGGGTGCTGAGATGAGATGGAGATGTGGCTTCCTTCAGGTGTTTGAGGTAATGAAGGAAATTTCATTCAACCACCTATTTTTTTATTTTGAGACGGAGTCTCGCTCTGTTACCCAGACTAGAGTGCAGTAGCGTGATCTCAGCTCACTGCAACCTCCACCACCAGGTTTAAGCAAATCTTCTGCCTCAGCCTCACAAGTAGCTGGGATTACAGGCACCCACCACCGCACCCAGCGAAATGTTGTATTTTTGTAGAGACAGGGTTTCACCATCTTGGCCAGGCTGGTCTCGAACTCCTGACCTCATGATCCACGTGCCTCAGCCTCCCAAAGTGCTGAGATTACAGGCGTGAGCCACCACGCCTGGCTCATCCACCAGTTTTTATTGAGGTCCTCTTTGGGTCAGGCATCAGGCTGGGCGTTGAAACTAGAGATGACACTGATGGGTTCCTGTCTTCCTGGAGGACTCAGTCTAGTAGGAGAAAGATGACATTGCCAGCATGCCTGAGAACAGATAGCATCAGGGCTACACCCCAGTGCAGAGGTGTGGAACTCAGTGAACAATAATGTCAACTGGAGGAGAGAGATGGCATCTGAACAGGGCTTTATAAGAAGGAGGATTTTGAGTCGGCGCGGTGGTTCACACATGTAATCCCAGCACTTTGGGAGGCTGAGGCAGGTGGATCACGAGGTCAGGAGTTTGAGACCAGCCTGGCCAACATGGTGAAACCCTGTCTCTACTAAAAATTAAAAAATTAGCTGGGCGTGGTGGCTCATGCCTGTAATCCCAGCTACTCAGGAGGCTGAGGCAGGAGAATCGCTTGAACCCGGGAGGTGGAGGTTGCAGTGAGCCACGATCGTACCATTGCATTCCAGCCTTGGCGACAGAGTGAGACTCGGTCTCAAAAAATAAAAAATAAATAAAGGAGGATTTTAACCAGCAGAGGGGCCTAGGAAAGGCATTTGGGACTGAGAGAACAGAGAACTCATGCTGTTCCCTCCCCTCAGTGGGCCCTCCTCATCCTGGCATCACCCCCACTAAAGCTCAAATTAACTCCTTCTGGGTTTCTTCTCGTAGGCAGACTGGGACTAGGCACCAGGGAGTCCCACAGCTGCCCCCAGCAGGTGCCCATGCCCCCAGGACAGGAAGCTCAGCGAGTTGTATGTGGCATTGACTCTTCCATGATCCTCACTGTGCCTGGCCAAGCCCTGGCCTGTGGGAGCAACAGGTGAATAGGTCATCAGGGTGACTAATCTGCCTCCGGCTCTCCTTGGCTGTGAGTGCTCCATCCATCATTGCCTACCTCTCACCAAAGACCAGAATTGAGGGGGTTGAGGGTGCTATTGGTTCAACCTAGGGTGGGATCTGTCTCCTGGTGCACCAGCTCCTGCCCAAACTGTCTGTCAGTTGGATTTGGCTTCTGGCTCTGCCCTCAGGTTCAACAAGTTGGGCCTGGACCACCTCTCCCTGGGGGAGGAGCCTGTCCCTCACCAGCAGATGGAGGAGGCCCTGAGCTTCACACTACTAGGCTCTGCACCCCTGGACCAGGAGCCCCTGCTGAGTGTAGACCTGGGCACTGCTCACTCAGCTGCTGTGACTGGTGAGCAGGACTTGGGCTCTGGAGGCCAGAGGGGGACTCATGGTCTCCTTGGTACCCTGTTGAAGCACCCCTTTCCTTCCTCTCCCCCATAGCCTCAGGTGATTGCTACACTTTTGGCAGCAATCAGCACGGGCAGTTGGGCACCAATGCTCGCCGAGGCAATCGGGCACCCTGTAAGGTCCAAGGCCTTGAGGGCATCAAGATGGCAATGGTAGCCTGTGGGGATGCCTTCACCGTAGCTATTGGGGCAGGTGAGGACTGAGCATGGCGGGGGCAGGCAGTGCCATGAGCAGTGCGGGCTAAGGGTTGCTGCTGAGGGCCACTGGACTCTGGAGCCTCCCAGGGGCCATCCTGGCAGTGTGGGAGGGGAGATTCTGCTCAGGCTGTGCCCACTTCCCACTTCCCTCCTGGGGATTCTTCCTGGCAGAGGGTGAAGTGTACTCCTGGGGCAAAGGGGCCCGAGGTCGACTGGGAAGGAGGGATGAGGATGCCGGACTCCCTCGGCCAGTGCAGTTGGATGAGACACACCCTTACACGGTGACTTCCGTGTCCTGTTGCCATGGAAACACCCTCCTGGCTGTTCGCCGTGAGTTTTAACTTTTCCCACCTCACCACACAACCCAGCTGACCCCTGCCCACACTCCCACCCCCCGTGTTCACAGATGCCCGCATCACCAAAAGCATCTTTAGCCCTCAGATAAAAATAGCTGAAGCTGCGGTTAAAAAGCTCAAAGTTTCCTGTCCCGGGTGGCCAAGGCGGGTGCTTCTTGGGCCTCATGGAAGGGCTGCCTCCACTGCTCCCCAGGGGGCTCACATGCATTCTTTCTCCTACTGCTGAGTCCCGTTGATGCTGAACCTCTCTTTCTGGCCTAACAGGGTCCAGAATCCAGGGCCCAGTAGGAGTGGGAGGTGGGTGATAATTGCTGGAGGCACTGCCCTCAGAAGCTGCAAGGGTTTCTCTTTGATACCCTCCAGCAGTCACAGATGAGCCGGTCCCCCCCTGAGGCACCTGGATACACCTCTGGACCACCCTGATACTGCTTCTCCTCTGAATGTTCTGAAAAGTGCAGGTGCCCAAGGCATGACTGTTGCAGCCGTCTCCTAGATTGGGTCATCATGGGGTATCCAGGCTGGCAAAACCCCTGCTCTGCTTTTGGCCTTGGATATGGAAACCTCAACCACTTTGTTCTCCCACCACCTCTTTGCCTTTCCTACCCCTTCCTCCCTTCAGTCAGTGTCCCCAGGATCCAGCCTGGCTACAGTTAGAAGGCAGACCTAGCCTTTGGAAGCAGAGCCTTGCCATAAAAAAGCTGAAGGCAGCTGTAGCTCCACACAGACCGTGCCCTTTCCCCCAGCCCAGTTAGAAAATAAGTCTGGGCCGGGGGTAGTGGCTCACACCTGCATACCCAGTGCTTTGGGAGGTCAAGCCAGGAGGATCCCTTGTGGCCAGGAGTTGTAGACCAGCCTGGGGACCATAGCGAGACCGCTGTCTCCACCAAAAAAAAAAAAAAAGAGAGAAGAAGAAAATAAGGCTGGGTGCGGTGGCTCACCTGTAATTCCAGCACTTTGGGAGGCCAAGGCGGGCGGATCACTTGAGGTCAGTAGTTTGAGACCAGCCTGGCCAACATGGTGAACCCTGTCTCTACTAAAAATACAAAAATTAACCAGGCATGGTGGCGGGCGCCTGTAATCCCAGCTACTCTGGAGGCTAAGGCAGGAGAATCCCTTGAACCCTGGAGGCGAAGGTTGCAGTGAGCCGAGATCGTACCACTGTACTCCAGCCTGGATGACAGAGCAAGACTCCCTCTCAAAAAAAAAGGAAAAAAAAATGTCTTTGGTGCTCACTGGGACTGTCTCTATGCTTTGGAGCAGGGCAAGCCAGGGCCTGCCTGGACTGACCATTAGGCCTGCCTAGCTTCTGCATAGCCTGGGGCAGGGCAGTCCCCGGGAGTGCTGCCATCTCCCCCACACTTTCATCCTAAGGCAGGATTTGCTCGACGTCTGCTTGCCTCTTTTCCCCAGCACGAGGACAGGAGCCACTACGTGTCTGCTGCAGAAAAGATCCGCGCTGCAGATTGTCCGTCACTCCATGCCTTTCTCCAGAAACACTTGAGAGAAAGGGTAGCTAGTGGGACCAGACTGGTTTCTCAGAGCACAGGAAGTAAAGCCAATAAAAATATCAGCTGCCTGCTGGAGTGTGGTGTCTTCAGGGGTGGGTGTGGCGACCAGGCACCCCAGGACTGGGCTGGGCGCGACCTCGGTGGCAGGGCTGCGGCCAAGGGAGGAATGTGGGCGCAGCCGGCGGCTGGGGTCGAAGTTCCTCTGGCCCAGCGCCCAGTCCAGCCTCCCCGCCCCAGCTGGGCTCCCCGGAGCTGGTTGCCAGGCTTCGGCTGCCTAGTACCTGGAAGCTGGGGCCCCGGTTCCTGGGCGGCTCACGGCCCCGGAGGCCGAGCTGTTGCCTCTAGAAAAGAAAACCTTTGTAGCGCGGCCCGTCCCCTTTTCCAACCCGCACTCCCCCAGGGCCCGAGAAGTGGATACACGCTCTCTCTCCCCCAGGGGAAAGAAAAGCCCATGCTCCGGTGGGTGGGCGACACTGGCGGTGACTAGACCCAAAGGCCTGCACTCGGAGGTGGGCGGGGCCGCTGGGCGCGCATTAGGACCGCGCGGCCGCGGCCCCGCCCCCTCTTCCGGCGGGCGGGCTTCACAGCCGAGCCCTGGCCGCGACCGCCAGTCGGCGCCGCCCGGAGCCGGGAGCGCGGCTCCAGCGAGGCGCGGGCTGTGGGGCCGCCGCGTGCCTGGCCCCGCTCGCCCGTGCCGGCCGCTCTCCCGCCATGCCTGGTTTCGACTACAAGTTCCTGGAGAAGCCCAAGCGACGGCTGCTGTGCCCACTGTGCGGGAAGCCCATGCGCGAGCCTGTGCAGGTTTCCACCTGCGGCCACCGTTTCTGCGACACCTGCCTGCAGGAGTTCCTCAGGTGCGGGCCGGGGAGCAGGGGCCAGCGGGGGCGGGGCGGGGCGGGGGGCGCCGCCTGGGGAGGGGCTCGGGCCCGGGGCACGCCGGGCCTTTGTCTGCGCTGCGACCCTGTGACCTCAGGGGCGCCCCGTGACGTCACGGGGAGGGGTGACGTCACGCCCCGAGGGAGGCTTCCCGCAGGAATCCGAGGGGTCGGGGCGGATCCCACCTGCCTGGCCTGGGGCGGAAGACCCCGGCGCCTTCCCGCGGGGTGGGAAGGGGAAGAGGCCCTTCCCCCTCACTTGAGATCCGGCGCGGCCTCAGCCTTGAACTTTGAATCCTGGGGGAAGAGGACAAAACCCGCTCCCGCCGCAGCACTTTGAGTCTCCGGAGATTTCACCCATCTAACCTCTTGTGATTCTTCGAACGTTCAGGGAACGGTAGCTATTGTTCTCCCATTTCACAGATGATGAGACGAGATTCAAAGAAAGACTGCGACTTGCCCAGGGTCACACAGTTACTTAAAGGCTTAACTAGGATTTAACCCCGGGCTGCTTATGATCACACAATGGAGGAAGGACTGAATCTTCCCCCGAAGGACCCTCTAGGCAGCTCCCCTCTCTCTCCCGGGGGCTGGAGCAAGGCGGGTGGTCCGTAACTCGTGAAGAAGGGGGACGCACTCGTATCGTTACTGCACTTCCACTGTCCCCTCAGGACGCAGGTTAGCCGTTGGCTCTTGGGAATCCGTCAAGCTTCTGGGCGCCCTGTGGTGTCTTGAATCTCTCCTGCCCACGCAGGGGACCACTCAGGCCCGGGTGTGGGAGGCAGGGTGAAGGAGCCCCGACTCTTCGGAGGTCATGGCCCCAGAGCAGGGGAAGGCCGGGTCGGCCACTGCCTGGCTGTTTGCTGGGCCGAGGGGATCGAGGGCCCGGCAGGGAGAGTATCTCTGGGGTGCGTGCCCGCGGTGCTCCCTCCGTCCGTGCCTCCCTCCCTCGCTCGGTCCTCCGTAGCTCCTACTGGCGGAAGTCTCAGCAGGCCCTTTGTTTTCTGTTCCCCACAGCCTGGGCCGGCTCCTGCCCTCACATATGCTCCCGCACAAGCTGCAGGACTACCCCCTCCCCCCCGGCAGTGTACACATTTACTCTCCTACAGACACAGCCCCATTGTCTCCGCCACTGCTCTTCCCCGGCCCTCTGGGTTCCAGATGAGGCCAGCTGAGCCCTCCCAGCCCTCCACAGCAGACCCACCCTGACTGCCGCGGGGAAGGAGCGGGGGAGGGGGCTGTCAGGCCCGATTCCTTCCACCACCTTCTTGGCCCCCCTCTGCCCCTCCCCCTCACGGAAATCCCCTCTTCCTCTCCCACTCCCACACCCCCTCCCCCCATCCTGTCTTCTTCCCGGAGCCTGGGCCTCCACTGCACAGCCTGGAGCAGCCTCTGCCCTGCCTCTCTCCCAACCCCCAGCGCCTGAGCTGTGCTACTGAGGCTTCTGAAGAGGAGAGAGGTGCTCCTCACCCGCCATGGTACAAGCACAAGTGAGGGTGTCCACAGCCCTGGCTGGGCCCCAAGCTGCAGGCTAAGCTTCTGTCTGAAGCCTAGGGACTTGCCTCCATCCCCTCCCTTTCTCCTAAACCACTAAGTCAGCACATTCCTGAAGCAGCCAAGTGGACCCCCTCCCCCTGGACCCACCCCTCTTTCCCCACTCCTGCCTGAGCTGTTAGGTTGGTCCAGGAAGGCTGGTTGCCCTGTGGGCAGACACACCCCTTCAGTGCCTGCTCTTGTATTGTCCTTGGCATTGAAGTATGGCCATTGGTAGTGAGGTCAAGGGGAGGAGGTGGGTGCTAGAAATCCTTGGGGCAGTTGGGGCATGGACTGCCCAGGTCCTGGAGAGTGCCTCTAGAACTGTGCTTTTATATGGGCTGTGGTTCTGCCTTGCTCCCTGCCTGCCTTCCACCTACCTGACTCAGACCTGCCAGGAATGCCCTGCCCCAGGGCCCTGAGTCCTGCTGGGTGAGCTCTAGCTCTCCCTGAGCCATGCCAGGCATGTGTGACTGGCCCTGACTGGGGTCAGCAAGGGCGTGTCGACAGAAGCATGCGAACAGGCTCCTTGGGTGCTGACAGCCAGGTGGGGTTTGGTGCAGGAGAAGGCGGGCAGCTAGCAGGAGGGGACGGTCACGAGGCTTCAGAAGCCCACTGAGCAGTGCCCAGAGTCATAGCTTTGCTTGCTGGACATTTTCCCTTGCCCCAGCTTCTTTTCCTCGTGTGTGTGGTGTAGTAGAGCCTGTCTGAGCTGTGGAGTCAGACACACATAGCCAGGTACTGCTTCACCTGTAAGTCTATTTGTTTCATCTGTAAAATGGGGGCATTCCACCCCTTCTCAGAGGCAGGTGGCAAGGGCCGGGTGGGAGTGTAAACAGGTGCCAGGGAGCATGCCTTTCCTCCTCTTTTCTGTGGGAGACACACCCTCAAAGGAGCAGAGCAGGCAGGGTAAGGTGGCCGCAAGCTGACCTTTGCCCTGGTTCTTGGCAGAGGACCTTCCTGGGGACTGGGCAGCCCTGGCACTTAATCTCAGCCCATCCCTGTTCCCCCTCCCAATCAGCTTTCAACCCAGCCAGTGAAAACTAACCTAGGGGGAGGGGGTAACTGTGCAGCGTATTCCTTCCCCAGTCCAGCTGCCATCCTCGGGGAGGGGGTGCCAGCTGCCACCTGTTGGCCAAGTCCTGACTGAGGCAGCTGTCTGTGCCTCCTCTAGGCCCAGATCCCCCTTCCCAGGACAGGGGCTGGGGTCTTTTGGGATCCTGGGGAAGTAGACCCCTCAGGCCTCTGCTTGCCCTTTTGTCTCACCTGGGCTGGTTGGGAACCGGTCTGGTGAGGAAGGGAGGCTGCCTTGGTGGAGGGGGTGGGGCCAGGCCTCCCTTTCCTCTAATGAGAAGCCTTGACCCTGCCCCTCCCCCATTTCAGTGAAGGCGTCTTCAAGTGCCCTGAGGACCAGCTTCCTCTGGACTATGCCAAGGTGAGTCCACACTGCCAGGAAGAAGTCCAAGCACAGTCTGTTGCCCTTGGAGGCCAGAGCTGCTGGCAGCCAGTGGGCTCAGGGCCAGTGTCAACCAAAAGCCTTGGGATGGTGCGCCCCCACAAAGGTAGCCTGTTCCCTCCCACCAGGCCAGTTTGCAAACGAGGCCCGTGTTTGCCCTGGAGGACAGGCACAATGCCCAGCCTGTAGGGGTGCACAGAGCTGCTCTGTGCCCGCAAGAAGTGCTCCCTCCCCTTCCGGTGGCGAGCCAGACCTGTGGCTGAGGGCCAGTATCCCGCCACCAGGGAGAAGGAAGCAGAGCCCCAGGGACAGCCTGGGATTGAGCAGGCTGATTGGCTGCCCCTTCAAAGGAAGCGTCCTGTGCAGGCATGTTAGGACCCAGCATCAGAGCAGACGCTGCCTGCTGTACCCTTCATTCCTGGACTCCGAGGGGCAAAGAGCCCGAAAGAGGCTATTACAGGCTCCAAGGTAGAGCCAGCCCAGTTGGGGCTGGAGGTGGGAACTGGGCAGTGCAGTCAGCTCTGATCCTGGCCGGTTCCCCTATCCTCACCCCCAGATCTACCCAGACCCCGAGCTGGAAGTACAAGTATTGGGCCTGCCTATCCGCTGCATCCACAGTGAGGAGGGCTGCCGCTGGAATGGGCCACTACGCCATCTACAGGTGAGGCTCTGATGTGAGGGGCTGGCACCACCTCGCTCTTGGCAGGCACTCATTGCAACCCTTCCCACCAGGGCCACCTGAATACCTGCAGCTTCAACGTCGTTCCCTGCCCTAATCGCTGCCCCATGAAACTGAGCCGCCGTGATCTACCTGCACACTTGCAGCACGACTGCCCCAAGCGGCGCCTCAAGTGCGAGTTTTGTGGCTGTGACTTCAGTGGGGAGGCCTATGAGGTGGGTGGGGTCTGGCTGAATGTGGAGGAGGGGTACCTGATGGCCTAGGCATCCCTTAACTCAGCACCTCTGACATTTCCACAGAGCCATGAGGGTATGTGCCCCCAAGAGAGTGTCTACTGTGAGAATAAGTGTGGTGCCCGCATGATGCGGCGGCTGCTGGCCCAGCATGCCACCTCTGAGTGCCCCAAGCGCACTCAGCCCTGCACCTACTGCACCAAGGAGTTCGTCTTTGACACCATCCAGGTGAGGCCCTTCCTGAGCTGTGGTTGCAGGGCAGGTGACAGGGAGTCAGGATATTGACTCCTGCCTCTCTGCCTCTGTGGCCCCAGAGCCACCAGTACCAGTGCCCAAGGCTGCCTGTTCCCTGCCCCAACCAGTGTGGTGTGGGCACTGTGGCCCGGGAGGACCTGCCAGGCCATCTGAAGGACAGCTGTAGCACTGCCCTGGTGCTCTGCCCATTCAAAGACTCCGGCTGCAAGCACAGGGTGAGACGCCCCTTCTCCTGTCGGCCCCCTTTTGCTCTTGAAGCCCTAGACAGAGGCTCAGCTTCCTGATGCCACTTAGGCCTTGGTGGTCCCTGCTGTGCTGCTCTGAAACCCTCAGTCCTTCCCTCTGCTGGCCAGCTCCAGCCTCTTCCTAACACCCTCTGTCTTCCTCACATAGAGCTGGGTGCCTGCTACCCTGTACCCACTGTCCTCTCCTCTCTTCTCTGGACCTTCCCCTACTGATAACTCTCCTCCCTTCCCCCATGGCCTGGGGCTTTGTCAACAGTGCCCTAAGCTGGCAATGGCACGGCATGTGGAGGAGAGTGTGAAGCCACATCTGGCCATGATGTGTGCCCTGGTAAGCCGGCAACGGCAGGAGCTGCAGGAGCTTCGGCGAGAGCTGGAGGAGCTATCAGTGGGCAGTGATGGCGTGCTCATCTGGAAGATTGGCAGCTATGGACGGCGGCTACAGGAGGCCAAGGCCAAGCCCAACCTTGAGTGCTTCAGCCCTGCCTTCTACACACATAAGTATGGTTACAAGCTGCAGGTGTCTGCATTCCTCAATGGCAATGGCAGTGGCGAGGGCACACACCTCTCACTGTACATTCGTGTGCTGCCTGGTGCCTTTGACAATCTCCTTGAGTGGCCCTTTGCCCGCCGTGTCACCTTCTCCCTGCTGGATCAGAGCGACCCTGGGCTGGCTAAACCACAGCACGTCACTGAGACCTTCCACCCCGACCCAAACTGGAAGAATTTCCAGAAGCCGGGCACGTGGCGAGGCTCCCTGGATGAGAGTTCTCTGGGCTTTGGTTATCCCAAGTTCATCTCTCACCAGGACATTCGAAAGCGAAACTATGTGCGGGATGATGCAGTCTTCATCCGTGCTGCTGTTGAACTGCCCCGGAAGATCCTCAGCTGAGTGCAGGCAGGGTTTGAGGGGAAAGGACGATGGGGCATGACCTCAGTCAGGCACTGGCTGAACTTGGAGAGGGGGCCGGACCCCCGTCAGCTGCTTCTGCTGCCTAGGTTCTGTTACCCCATTCTGCCTCCCCCAACCACCACCCTCAGGTGCCTCCAATTGGTGCTTCAGCCCTGGCCCCTGTGGGGAACAGGTCTTGGGGTCATCAAGGGCTGGAAACAAGTGACCCTAGGGCCTGTCTCCCTTCTTGGGTAGGGCAGACTTGCCTTGGTGCCGGTAACACAATACCCGGACTGAGGTGCCTGCTCAGGTGCTATGTCCCAAGAGCCATAGGGGGGTGGGAGTTGGGGATGGAGAAAGGGTAGGACAAAGAGTCTGTCTTGAGATCTGATTTTTTTCCCCTTTCCCTAGCTGTGCCCCCTCTGGTTATTTATTTCCTTAGTGCCAGGAGGGCACAGCAGGGGAGCCCTGCTTTTTAATAAACCTGGAATTGTATTTATTAATTTGCTTCCAGCCTGACTTACCTGGGTTGGTTAGGGCCCTGGGAGGCTCAACCAAACAAGGCAAAGAAAGGACCAGTCAGAGAAGGGCCGCTGCCTGGGTCTGGCCCCAAGATCCAGCTCCCCTGCTGGCTCGCCCTCCGATGGACGCCAGGGGAACTGCATCGGGCTTTGTGTGAAAGACGGTCCCTGCCGCTGCCCTCTGGCGATGAAATGGGGGAGGTGTATGGCCTGTATGTTTCGTAAGGCTGGAGTCCCTGGTCAGCCATACCAGACTAGTGCCTCTGCCCTAGGCAGGTCTTTCTTGGTCTAATGATAATAGGTACTGACACTGCTAAGCACTTTACGTGCATTATGATTTTACTGAAAAGAACTGTCAAGTGAAATACTTTTCATCACGATAACTGGCTTTGTGGGCTCTAGAGAAGAGTTCATGAGGCAATGCATGTTCTTGTCCCAGAGTAAGTGCTTAGTGAATGCTTTTTAACTCCGAACCCCAGCCGCATCCAGGGGACTGGATGTTGAGCACAAGGGGCCTTCAAGATGTTTAAGGCACTTGGATTTTCTTCTGTCTCTCATCGGCCTTTCTTATGGGCCTCTGTGGGTGTGTGTGATTATCTACGTTTCACTGATGAAACACAGAGGAGTGACTGACTTATCAATGATTCTTCTGCGGGTTTGGGCAGGGCCTGGATTCTGTTTTAACTCCAGTAGTCCCTAGAAGTTGTAGCTTCCTCTAATTTTGGCAATAGGTGTGGGTTGTTGTGCTTGCTTTTGGCAAGTTTCTGAGCGACGTAGGTCCTCCATTACCCTCACTGGTGAAAGCCAGCTCACCTCCCAGATTTACTGTAAAGATTAAATGAACTGGTCAGTACACAGTGCTTTACTGTCTTGCCTATCCCTGAGAAGAGGCTGTTATGTACAAGAATCATTAGTAAGGGAAGGTTCAAGGGCTGTAGTTACTTCTCTTCCCACGTAGAGACCAAGGGGTTTTTTTTGAAAAAAACAACGTCAGTCTCTGCTGCATATGACTAGCTACTCGGGAGGCTGAGGTGAGAGGATGGTTTGAGCTCAGGAGGCAGAGGTTAAAGTGAGCTGAGATTGCGCTACTGCACTCCAGCCTGTGTGGCAGAGCCAGACCCTGTCTCAAAAAAAAAAAGGCCTTGGGCTGGGCACAGTGGCTCACTCACACCTGTAATCCCAACATTTTGGGAGGCCGAGGTGGGCGGATCATGAGGTCAGGAGATTGAGACCATCCTGGCTAACATGGTAAAACCTCATCTCTACTACAAACACACAAAAAAATTAGCTGGGTGTGGTGGCAGGCACCTGTAATCCCAGCTACTCGGGAGGCTGAGGCAGGAGAATCGCTTGAACCTGGGAGGGGGAGGTTGCAGTGAGCCGAGATGGCTCCATTGCACTCCAGCCTGGTAAGAGAGGGAGACTCTGTCTCAAACAAACAAACAAAAAAGCCTTTATTGGGTGACAGGACTAAGCCTCGGTGAGCCAGGCTGGGGAGCTCATCGTCTAGCCCAGTCTTTTCAAAAACGTCAAATTGACCTATGTAGGGAGAAGTGGGGCCCTGGCTGAGAAACTAGAGCTGGGCCTCTTCACCAGATAAACCTCTTGGTATGGTGATGCCTGGAGACTGGTAGAGGCAGCCACGGGCTCCAGCAGCATAAATGCTTTCGGGCAACAGGCTGAAACACCCTTCCAGAATCCCAGCTACACACCTGACCGGGCACAGTGACTGACGCCTATAATCCCAGCACTTTGGGAGCCCAAGTTGGAGATCAGCCTGGGCAACAAAGGGGAGATGCCCCATATCTACAAAAAAATACAAGGACCCGGGCACGGTGGCTCATGCCTGTAATCCCAACACGTTGGGAGGCTGAAGTGAGGGGATCACCTGAGGTCAGGAGTTTGACACCAGCCTGGCCAACGTGGTAAAACACAGTCTCTACTAAAAATGCGGAAAACTTAGCTGGGCTTGGTGGCGGGTGCCTGTAATCACACCTATTTGGGAGGGTGAGACTGGAGAATCGCTTGAACCTGGTAGGCGGAGGTTGCAGTGAGCTGAGATCACACCACCGCACTCCAGCCTGGGCAACAAAGTGAAACTCCATCAAAAAAAAAAAAAAAAAACTGGGCATGGAGGCACACACCTGTAGTCCCAGCTACTTGGGAGGCCGAGGCAGAAATCACTTGAACCTGGGAAGTGGAGGTTGCGGTGAGCTGAGATTGCACCACTGAACTCCAGCCTGGGCAACATGGTGAGACTCCGTCTCAAAATAAATAAATAAGCTGGGCACTTGTGTCAAACTTGGGCTCCTCTGTTGCCCAGGACACTGCCACTGCATGATTCCGGGGGTAACATTCACATAGTCTAGATGGTGCCTCCTAGAGTTGTGTGCAAACAATGGGGGCTGTTAACCCCATACTCTGCAAGCCTCGCACACCTGGCCCTCATTCAGTGCTAGTCATAACTTGCAGATCTCAGGCCATGTTCTGCAATGAAAGTGTGAGCCGCACTCCCCAAGGATCTACCTCAGCCCAGGAATCATTCACTCTGGAGGAAGCGCTGTACTTTACTGTCTAGCTCTATGCTTTTAGGCCGACTGCAGATCTTATCTGACACAGGCAGAAGACAGCTTGCTTTCACAGAGGTGGCATGAGGCATAAAGGAGTCAAAACACTTTCACAAAAGAGCACCCTGGGCCAGGCACAGTGGCTCACGCCTGTAATCCCAGCACTTTGGGAGGCTGAGGTGGGTGGATCACAAGGTCAGGAGTTCGAGACCAGCCTGACCAACATGGCGAAACCCCATCTCCACTAAAAATACAAAAATTACCGCCTGGGCACGGTGGCTCACGCCTGTAATCCCAGCACTTTGGGAGGCTGAGACAGGTGGATCACGAGGTCAGAAGATCAAGACCATCCTGGCTAACACGGTGAAATCCCGTCTCTACTAAAAATACACACACACAAAAAAAAGGCTGGGCACGGTGGCTCACGCCTGTAATCCCAGCACTTTGGGAGGCTGAGGCAGGCGGATTACAAGGTCAGGAGATCGAGACCATCCTGGTTAACACAGTGAAATCCGTGTCTACTAAAAAAAAAAAAAATTAGCCGGGCGTGGTGGCGGGCGTCTGTAGTCCCACCTATTCAGGAGGGTGAGGCAGAATGGCGTGAACCCGGGAGGCAGAGCTTGCAGTGAGCTGAGACCGTGTCACTGCACTCCAGCCTGGGCAACAGAGCGAGACTCTGTCTCCCCCCACCAAAAAAAAAAAAAAAAAAAAAGACCTGGGTGTGGTGGCACACATCTGTAGTCCCAGCTTCTCAGGGGGCTGAGGCAGGAGAATCACTTGAACTCAGGAGGTGGAGGTTGCAGTGAGCCAAGATCGTGCCACTGCCAGCCTGAGCGACAGAGCGAGAGATTGTCTCAAGAAAAAAAAAAAGCACCCCCATCCTGGCTAACACGGTGAAACCCCATCTCTACTAAAAAAAAAAGTTAGCCGGGCATGGTGGCAGGCGTCTGTAGTCCCAGCTACCTGGGAGGCTGAGGCAGGAGAATGGCGTGAACCCGGGAGGCGGAGCCTGCAGTGAGCCGAGATCACACCACTGCACTCCAGCCTGGGCAACCGAGCAAGACTCCATCTCAAAACAAACAAACAAACAAACAAAAACTACCCTGCAGAAAAGGGTGTGCGCAAGAAGGCTGGGTGCTTTAGCTCCGTAAGCATTCAGGAAACCACCTGTGGACTCTTGCCACCAAGGGTCTGATTCTACCCTCCCTGAATCCTGCATCTTGTGCAATAAATTTATTTTATTTTAATTATTATTTTTTTGAGACAGACTCTCACCCTTTTTGCCCAGACTGGAGTGCAGTGGCGCGATCTCAGCTCACTGTAACCTCTGCCTCCCGGGTTAACAAGCAATTCTCCCGCCTCAGCCTCCCGAGTAGCTGGGATTAGACGAACCCGCCGCCACACCTGGCTTATTTTTGTATTTTTAGTAGAGACAGGGTTTCACCATGTTGGTCAGGCTGGTCTTGAACTCCTGACCTTAGGTGATCTGGCTGGCCTCAGCCTCCCAAAGTGCTGGGATTACAGAAGTGAGCCACTGCGCCAAACCTCAATTTTCGTTTTTCTTTTCTGATGGAGTTTTTGCTTGTGTCGTCCAGGCTGGAGTGCAGTGGCACGATCTTGGCTTACTGCAACCTCCACCTCCCAGGTTCAAGTGATTCTCCTGCCTCAGCCTCCTGAGTAGCTGGGACTACAGGCACCCGGCGCCACACCTGGCTAATTCTTGTATTTTTAGTAGAGACGGGGTTTCATCATGTTGGCCAGGATGGTAGAGCTGGGGGTCACTCCTGTCACCCAGATAGTGGCATTGCAGCCTTAAACTCCCAGGCTTGAGGAATCCTCCCACTTCAGCCTCCTAAATAGCTGGGACTACAGGTATGTACCATCACACCCAACTTTTTACAATTTTTTGAAGAGACAGGGTCTCACCCCTGGGCACAAGCAATCCACTTCAGCCACCCAAAGAGCTAGGATTACAGGCATGAGCCACCGCACCCAGCCAGAATCAGTTTTTCCCTCCATTACATCTTAGCTCAAACCCAAGGTCAGCAGAAGAGAAGGGTAACTGCATTCACTTTTTTTTTTTTTTAATTTTTCTGAGACGGAGTCTCACTCTGTCACCCAGGCTGGAGTGCAGTGGCATAATCTCGGCTCACCGCCACCTCTGCCTCCTGGGTTCAAGCAATTCTCCTGTCTCACCTTCCTGAGTAGCTGGAATTATAGGCGCGTGCCACCACGTCCAGCTAATTTTTGTATTGTTAGTAGAGACTGGGTTTTGCCATGTTGGTCAGGCTGGTCTTGAACTCTTGACCTCAGATGATCCACCTGCTTTGGTCTCCCAAAGTGCTGGGATTACAGGCATGAGCCACTGCACCCGGCCACAATCACTTAGTTTTTTTTTTTTTCCCCCTCTGCAGACAAAAAAAAAAAGTTATCCAAAATTCAATGTAAGAAAACTGGAATCACCAAGAGGAGCCAGTTATGTTGCAGATAACAGTGCCTATCACCTTCACCTCTGTCAGAGGCCCTCAGAATTTTCAGTGTTGGAAATGGGAGAAGGAGGTTTGAAGTTTTAGGTTGGGTTATTAACAGACCAGATCCCCATTTCTTGGCCAGGCACGGTGGCTCACGCCTGTAATCCCAGCACTTTGGGAGGCCGAGGCAGGTGAATCACTTGAGGTCAGGAGTTCGAGATCAGCCTGGCCAACATAGTAAAACCCCATCTCTACTAAAAATACAAAAAATTAGCCGAGCGCCTATAATCCCAGCTACGCAGGAGGCTGAGACAGAAGAATCGCTTGAACCTGGGAAGCGGAGGTTGCAGCAAGCCAGGATCGTGCCATTGGACTCTAGCCTGGGCGACAGAGTGAGACTTTGCCTCAAACAAAACAAAACCACCAGATCCCCATTTCTCAATGACTTGGAAGGCCCTTGGAGTGCAAATGGCAGGACCTTTTGGGCCTCCAGTGAGGGACAGCAAACCATACTTATCCATCAAACTTCACAGTAAGCCCATAGCATTCCTGCCCGGGGGAGAGGGCCTGTCAGCCGGGTATCCTGTGTCCAGGGCTTCATTGAAGAACTGTCTACAATCACCACAGCACCTGGCCTGAAACAATGGATTTGGAGATGGCTTCTGGGTGGGATGCATATTACAGGGCTCCCCCTTTTAAAAATAAGGAATTACTCCTAGCAAGCGAGGTATGTTAGAAACTGTTAGAAGAAAAAGTTACCTCCAACATTCACAGCAGCAAACGAATAGAACAAGGTCAGAAAACAAGGTTT